TCTTAACTAGGCATAGATACCATGGCTGATGGCTATACTTAATGGCTATACTGAGAAATACAGCTTTCTAGAGAGAGTCGCAGAATGCGCGCTATATCAGTTACATTTCAGCACCAGGTAAATTCGCTATACATTGTGAAGGAGCAATTACGAAAACGGAAAAAATTTTTTCCCTCTGAACAAAACCAATTAGTAGCATTCGTTTATCGAATATTCTTAGGAGTGACATCAGGAATTTAGGTGGCAATCGCGTGTTTTACGTGGTTTGTTCTTTCATCTTCGAGCAATATCCTCAATCCTTCGGTTGCCTTCGTGGCATTAACGATATTCAACAAACTTCGCCGTCCTATGGCTCTCGTGGCACCTGCTGTTCAGTTTATTTCTAAGGTTCGATCATTCTGAATAAAAAGAAATATCAAAATATCACTAATCTGAGCAAACCGTTTTGTTCGTACCATATATGACGCCAGTAGTCTTGCTAAGGAGCCCATAAGCTCCTTTGATATATGTACTTGTGCATGCTTATTGACCCAACTGCTGGAGAACCTGTTTTCTTATTGCTTCGCCACTTAGTTTGGGTAAGACGGAACACCTTTATGGAGGTCGAATGTCATCACTCATCGCCTTCAAGACCTGAAAATGGCTTTGTTTCGTGAAAAACTTGGTCCTTGCAATCCATGTAGAGGGATAGATGAGAAATTTTCTGTAGCAGCAATACACTCAGTCCCGTTGCATCGCATTTGCAACGATACCGTACGCAAAAGGTTCTGTGTAGCCTCTATAGCCGACAGAAAGTGAGAAACGCGCCTGCGATAGTGCGGACCATGTACTTGCGCGAAGGCTAAACCGTCCGTGAAAAGTGGCCTCTTCTTTGAGGTGATCGGGAAGTGGCGAAGAGAGTGTCCCAAATAGTGGTAGCTTGACACGTCGCATAGAGTCCTGAAGATAGCCGGCTTTCACCCCGATCAGGCATTCAATTGGGAGAAGTAGTGCATCGTATTGCGCAGCGCTGCAGAGTGGGCTCAACCCTGAAGAAGAAAATACACTCACTCCCTCCTTTGCATTTCACAATGGGATATACAGCACCCATAAAGTTCTCCTAGCACCGACGTCGTCTTGATCCTGGTCAGGATCCTGCATTTGATATCAAGGTATGATGCTGGTGGAGCTGTGGAACGGCGGTAATCCTTGTTGAGATGGTTCTCTACTTGGGAATTTTCAGGAGTTGTCGCGACTGCTCTAGCAGACTAGCACTACAACACTCGTCCAGGTAGCTTGCGAACTTAAAGCCATTGACAGGTTTTGAAAACGACGAATGAGCCGAATCATTAATCGCATCGACCTCAGAAACGCGATTCCATCTTATCAATCGCATGTGCGGCGAAACGATATGGAAACACGCCCTATAGAAGAAGTTCAGGTCTCAAGAACGACGAAGTAGCAACTAAAACTGCCACTCTAGGCTATTGTGAGCAGCAAACGCATCAATGAGTTCCTACAAGCCGACGAGCTGATTCGACAAAAAGGAAGCGCGAATGACGAGGCGCCTTCGATCGTACTGGACAACTGCTTCTTTTCATGGGGCAAAGAGAAGGAAAATCTGAAATGATCGTCTGTTTTACTGGTTTACGTTAGATTCATCGCGTAAGAATCTATTCATTTTTCCTGTTTACAGATCACTTTGAATGTAAATCAGGGAGAACTTCATGCAATTGTTGGATCGTTCGGCAGTGGAAAATCGTCTCTACTATCTGCTATCCTAGGTATCTAGTAGAATTACGACTTCACAAGCCATTTATTTCATATACATGCAACATGTTTACATAGCGTGTAGGTTGGACTGAACAAACATACCTGGAACACTTCAAAATGGTGAACTACGCAACACTTAGTAAAGAAGACAAACGCTGTTATCGCCAGCAGTAATATTTTGGACATAGCGCCTGTTTTTTTTCAGTTCTTACCTCTACAACCACACGGGACGAATGTGCTTAGGCTTTGCTGTCAGTCACCTTGGCGACTCATGGAATCAAAGAAACGGAATAAATATGTATCGACTCAGAGAATCGTGGGCCGCTCCTTCGCCGCTTATTGTTAGAAGAGGATTAGATAAACACCGTGTTGCTGATTCCTCCCAAATAAATAATTGAAAGCGCGGAAACCTGGCGCCGCCGATTCTCCCCAGTCCATAGATATCTGAGACTTTTCGCGCTTCTGCATGCTTCCGCATGTTTCGCTCGCCCACTCCGCCGACGCTCCCTGTATCAGAGCATTCTCGCGGATGCGTTTCTTTCCTCAATCCCGCAGGGTCGCGAGCTGTGAACTTATTGGGATAAGAATAGGACTAATGTTCTGATCTCAAATTGGACCACATCTCAATTTCGTCCAGAGGAACTTTTGACTGCTAGTTAAAGGTGAACATTGACATATGTGTAAAAGAGAAGCTCGGCAGTCGAACAATTAACAGAATCATTTATTCATTTTGTAGGAGAAATGACTCAGCTGGATGGTGTTAAGAAGATAAGCGGCACTATCGCTTACGTGCCACAAACAGCATGGATACTTAATCACACTGTACGGAGCAACATTCTTTACGGCCTGGACTACGACAGGAATAAATACGACAAGGTGTAATTGTTATTAAACTAAATGAATTTCTTCTCTCGAAAAAAGTCAGTCCATGTTCAACGCAGGGCAGAATACTGCATGGAGCAGGGAAGCTAGCAAAAAGACTGAGGCAGTGACCCTGAGTCCAACCTTAGTTGAAAGCTTAATGTGTAGTAAGTACTTCACTTCCGGAAAGTCGGCGCTTTTGTTCTTTTATATAGGCAGAACAGGGAGAGTGGAAAGTAAATCCACTGCCACCGGAATATTTTTTACACCTTTCTGTGTAGAGAACCACAAAAACACTTTGGTGTGAATTTGTAACTTAATATGCACGTCACTTCAACTAACTTTCCCCCATAGGCGCGCTCAACGCTCAGGATTCGTAGGAGGTGTAATTCAAATGAGAATGATAGCGTTCAAAAGTGAATCAGTAGCGCAGTGTCACGAAAAAAACCTCTGGAGAGTACCATAGATAGGACCTGGTTCAAGTGCACGAAATCCACGAAATCAGCGACGTGGAGGTTGGCTGTGACCTTTCAATAGGGAGGAGAGGTCGTATGGGTATCAATAAAAAAATAAGAATAGAGAGCGGTGATGTTAGCGAAACAATCTCCTTGCGTGTGCCTTGCAGTGGAGCGCGGTACCCCCTTCGAGTGGAAATTCATGATAGAGTAGTTCAGTGTAAGAAACCGCAACATAGTAACAAGTTGCGTTTGTCGAAATGCTGCAGGAATATCAATATCAACCGGCTCAGAGAGTAGTTTGGTTCATGCTAGGTTCATTTTCCACAGATCCGTGATTTCTTCGTCACTGCGATTTTGAGTGGAAGGCAAGTGCTTGGCTCATTCCACGGGAAGGCTGACCAGCGCCTCTCTGCTTCGATTCCTATTTAATAACAAGTAGGAACGATGTGCTGGAAGTTTTCGAGGAAGTCGAAGAGGAGTGGAACTCTGAAGAAATAAGGCAGAGCATAAGGTTTTAGCCACTAATCAATCTCTTTTTGTATGCATGCATTCCACTTCCATTCAAAATTGTAGTGGCTGTTGAATGCGGCAAAGCCTATGCAATGACTAGCGGGAGTCAGAGGATGTGAAAATTAGTATTCCCTTTTTTTATCAAATGGATTAGGTTATCAATCGTCCTTCGAGG